CCACGCCCATTGTCCAGTTTTTATAGCGGCTCACATGAAATTTCCTCGCACCATATTGGTTGTGAAATTGAGTGCTTTTGGGGTTTTTACTTAGTGAGTTATATGGGGATTTCACCACTTAAACCCCGCCTGTAGAAGTACCGAAAGGATTTGTCATATATAATAGCTTTAGAGATTTGTGAGCCCTATTAGGGGGCCGGGGCTACTACCACTTCTTAAAAGTTTTCAACCCACAGGTGTCCCTCACTTCTGCTAATCCCCTGCAACAAATTACAGTTGTATATCTTAATTTCGTTTCGCTTATTATCGTTTTGTGGCCGTTTCAAGTCTGATTATGGAACATGTGGACAAAGTTTCATAAAGAAATTTAAATTTTTACTCAAGTTATCGCTTGCATGTACAGACATGATTTCAACTCTTCTCTTCATCTTGATCACTTATATATATATAATTCTATATCTACCTGATTTGCTTTAGGCGAAACAAACAACAGTTACGAATAGGTGAGCAAAACTATAATATCCTGTAGGAACATTTTGTGAGATTATATTTAATACAGTGAAAATAATAAAGACGAAAGCCTTAATGCATTTATGAGAACTTAAGGGATAGAACTTGAGGTTTTAACAGTTCCACATGGTGCGTCCATGACAATGTTGTTATATTATTTTTTGAAGTAATAAAATATTCAGATGATTCTAACATGATTTTTGAACATATGCTTATGATTTGAAATATATTTTTATTTATTTATGAATTGTTTTGACTTTTTACATAATTGAGATATAAACTATCTTTTCTTTTCAGTTGGATCAAACTGAACAAAATGTGCTAAAATTTACTAAAATCCGTTCAGTATTTAGGAGTTTACCCCCTACAAAAAGTGACAAGTAATTTATATACATATATATATATCACCAATATATTTTTATTCTTTTATTATTATTACTATAAATTATTAGAACCATAGCAATTGACTTTATACATACAATTATTTTCTCCTAAATTTTTGCATATATTCTTGCAATAAATAAAAAACAATTAAATTTGCAGCATATTCTTCACTCCTTATTGATGCCTCTCTATTTACGTATCCCAAGAATCCAATAAGAACTTACCTCTTTTTGCCTTTTAAGTACCTTAAGGTAATTGTACCCCACTACATTTATATTTCGGCCAAATGCATAACACCACTATTATTAGGTATTATGTATTACAATTTAGTTAGACATAAGCAAATTATGAATACAAAATTATAATTGTTAATTAAACACGTTTTAAACTTTTCGTGAATATACTTTCCTTGTTTAGTTTATTCTTAATTTTTTTTTTGTCAAATGAAAAATGTCAAAGAGAAAGGATTAAGTGGATTCGAAAAATAGAACACCCTCCATCGTTTTTGTTTCGCGATTTTGTTGAATGTCCTGAAATTAAAACATTTTAAAATAAGAATGAATGAAATGAAATAAGGAACTATGTATGTGATTTAGCTTTCTTAATATATTTCTAAAAAATTATGCATTGGGTTTAGGAAAATCGATATTTTTAGTAAGATATTTATCTAAGTATATCATAGGAAAAATACTACAATAAAAACGTGTTGTAAAAGTGTTTTAAAGATCATTTTTTCTTATATCTAAAGATGTAAATGAAATTATCCCTATTTCCTATCTACATAAACTAGTGTAAAAGGGAAAAAATTCATGGTAGGTTGAAATTCATCGGAAACGAAAGATAAAATAACAAACATTAAAAGAAAAATAAGTTACGGGCGATATGAGGTCGGTAAAAGGAAGGCAGGAATGGAAGGAAGGTTGAATTTTTAAGGGTTAAAAACGGTTTATATCGATTTGCATCAAAATCACGAGTTCCGAAGAAAAACGTTATATATAATTTTAAATATAAAATATTATATTATAATAATTAAAAATAAAAAATAATAATAATTTTATTAATAGGTTTTATGTTTAAAGAAAGTTCTACTTTCTGATGGTAAAAATGTACATTATTAAATTTGCTCAGAAAATGGAAAAAAGACCTCACCTCTTCAAGAAACATAAAGCTTACTGACTCTTTTAATAAATATTAAATTTGATGTGGGAATTTTTGATTTAAAATCTCCTTAATATTTTAAATTTAAAAAAAATACCGTGCATTTGCGACATAAATAGGTAAGTGTACACCAAATTTCGTGAAAGAAAAACAAAATTTGGGCAAGATAAAAATAAAAAAGCTAAAGCTTGGTTAGTAGAACTTTTCACAAAAATATTAATCCCTCCTTCGTCTAACATAGAATATAAAAAAGCTTTTATCTTATCTAAGAATCTAGAATTTTTGGAATGATACAATTTGTTAATTTTGTAAACAACGTTTCCACCTGAAAGTTATTGAAAATATGGTAAATAAGGTTAGTATTTATACGAGCAAAATAAATTACTAAAAGCTTAAATTTGGTCTGGCTTCTTTGTATGTGCTATTTTTGTAGAAAGAAAATGAGCAGCTCGTTTCAGAGATTTATGACATAGATTTTTTCGATTTAAAAAAATTTAGTCAGTTAATAAACGATCTTTTTTTTTTTGTTTTTCCCGATCCCAGCTGGTTGCTCTTGTCATGGCTGTAACTTCTTTTATTTGTCATGTTTTTGACCTTTAACCATTTTTAGTCTAAAACTTTTTAAATTTAAACTGAAATGCAGTAATTTCGTTAGGAACGAAAAAAGTTCTATTGACCCACAATAAACGACGGGGCAATACGATTATCAATATCAGTACACTATATCTTCATATAATATATACATTTTAGCCCTTAATAGCTTATTTTTAGTAACACGTCGTGTTACATATATAAAGTAATTGTAAAAAAATCGAAAAATTATTTTCGTTTTAAGCGACTTACGTGGGTCTAATTTCCTATTAAGAATAATCTGTTGGGATCTAGAACTTGGATGTTTACTAAAAGTTTTTTAAATAGATTTAGATTTTTATTTTTATTTAACATCTGTGGACGTTCTCTCATCAAGCTACTTGAACTTCTCATTTTTTTATGGAAGATCTGTAAAAGTTTTTATTAATATTTTATTAAAATATTTTCAAGTAGTTTCCAAAGGTTCATTTACTTGAATAATATATATGAACAAAATATTTCATTGTTTAACATTATCGAGTTGAAATTGATTATTTCATCCAATATAGGGAAATGCATATTATAGTATAGCAAAAAGTAATGTTGAATAATAATGTAAGTGCGAAATACTTCTATTTGTTCCCCTCATTTCTAAAAACATAATTTCATATTTTTTCAACATTATATTGAATATTTTAATTTTGGTCAGTCTCCGTATCTTCATCATGTTCTGGTAGTAATGGACTATCATCACTTAACGGTTTCAGAGGTAACGCGGTTCCTGGTGTTGAGGGTGCTGAACGTGATAGAAAAATGTTACGCATTTTACCTCCTCTGCTAGCGAAAAACTTTGTGCCCACTATACTATTGACCGGGCTCTTTAATGGGAATTTGCTCGAATTCGACGATATATCATTCGGAATCATTGGAATATATAGAGATTTATTCGATTTGAGAATAAAATGTTTAATTTTGTTTTGGTGTAATGTTGTGGGACGTTTTAATAAATTGTCGGTAACATTAGGCGATCTTTGTGTGTTTTGTGCTTTAGCTGTAATTGTTGTTTTTGCCTTGTCTAATGGTAAAGTTGCTAAATGAACTGTTGTTTTAGAAAACTTTGGATTATTAGGGCAAATAACACTTGAGTTTAACTGTATTTCACAGCATGCAACGGAATTACGTTGTAATTTTCGCTGTGTATACGCATTAGATGTCTTAACCATCCCAGCTGTTGTGTTCGATGGTGACGATAACGTGTGACGTAACGCGGGTTTCATATGAAGCAGCAGATCTTCATAGCTTATTTCTTCCTGCCACTGACGTATTTGATTGAGAATATCTTTTACTTCGCCAGTCGGACTGGTAGCTTGCGGAGGCGAGCTAGGTATGCATGCATTTGCAAGACTACTAACATCAGAGCAATTATCTGAAGTTGTATAATTTGTTAAATCATCTGGAGTATACTTATTAAGATTCTTATTAACAGGACATGATAGGGATTCTGTGTTATTTATCAATGATTGGGGTTGTTGCTGTTGTTTCTCTAATAAATGGTAACATGTTTCCAAACTCTGCCTCAATAAGTTAAGATCTTTCAATTCTGTCTCTGACAAATCATTTGTAGCTCCTTTAAAGCCAGCAACTGAATCGCAAGATTTATACGTCGGATTCAGTATACTGGTGTTGATTACAAGCTGAGTAGGGAATGTTCTAGTATGATGTAGTGGTTTAGATTTAATGTATCCGTTGTTAACAATCAAAGTTGTTCCATGATTGATTGATTGAGATTGTGTAGTAAAACCTTTGACACCAGTAGCCAATGTAACTTGAGGTTTCACTCCAGTCTCATCAAAATTAATTACTTCAAATGATTTACTACCATTTCCATTAGAGCCATCATCCAAACGGTCTACGGAATTGTTGTTGATAAAAATATCACTAATGCTGCTGCTGCTATTGTTAAAGTAACGAAATTGCTGTTCACTTTGGGATTGTATAAAACCTTTTGGAATACAACCACCGCTAAAATTGCTGGCGCATCCACTGCTCCGATTACTCCTAGCCTCACTACCATTACCATTGTCATCACGGTTACCATTTTGATTCGAATTTGAACGATTGGAATTGTTCTCGACCGATTTTTCATTGAAATTGAATTGTTCACCTACCGAAGTTTGTAAAATCGTGCTGTACGGTGTTGTTGAGTTTGTTGTATTTTCCATATCTACGTCGTTTTGATTCCCGCCAACTGAGCCATTTAGTGCTACTACAGTGAAATGCGGAGCTCTATTTTGTTGAAATATTTGCTGAGTGACTATACCACTATTTATATCGTGCATACCCATATTATTATTGCCTCCATTACCTCCACTTCCATAAACTAATTGGGAGGCAGATCGCGGTATTAAAAAGTCCTGGGGGAAATGTGAACTAAAACCAGTTTCGGGGCTGGCTGCACGAGAATATGGTGGTGGTACCAAAGTATTTGCTTCGTTAATATTACAAATAAAGCTTGAACTTAAAGAATCTATCGTACTAGCTGCAGACAATGATCCAATTGGCCGAACAATATAATTACGAAAATATTGTACCATGAGGTAACTGGAACCAGTTTTAGTATTGTCGCTGTTGCATGTGAAAACAAGTGGATAAAGATCCGGCTTCGATGTTACCTTAAATTATTCATTAATAAAAATTAGGTTAAAAAATTGAAATAAAAACAAAAGTACCTCGGTATATGGAGGCGGCGGATGATGAAACGAATTGCAGCGACTGTATTGCGGCGGGGCATAACAGGACCCTGCCGAGTCACCCTCAGATTGAGCACGATGGTCAGTGAATCCCCAACCGCAAAGTGTTCGCCGCTTCTTCCACAATGAATATGCACAGAGTAAAGCCAACATAATCGCAACTACCACACACCTAGTTTCATATATGTACATAGTGTATGATATAAAGATATAATTTAATATGTAATAAATAGGATATTGCCGTAAAAGTAAAAGATTATTTATATATTAATGTCTACTATTATGTAAACTAAGGTTCAATGCATATACATATAAAGGTATTTCTATAGCATTTCTTATACAAGTATGAATGGTAACAAGCCATTCGGAGACTGGTAATAACAAGTATAATGGAATAAGGTGATCACCCAAGAATTTTGTAGAAGCGAGAATTCTTCAAAATTGTCCGTCGACTTACATGTCTAAATACCGCTTTAAATTTGTTCAAAATTAAAAAGTGTCCATGTGACTGATCTCAATATCATACTTCAAATATGAATATCTACCAATTTTTGCGATTTGAAAAAGACAATCAACTGGAAACCCATTAATGCGATAAAACTTTTTTTGCATGAAAACATGTATATTACGGTACCAAGAAACATGTGTACCAAGTGTCATAAAGATATCTAAATTTTTACACAAGTTACAGGTTGCACAGACGGACGGACGGGCGGACAGACAGTCACCCGGATTTCAACTCGTCTCTTCATCCTGATCATTTATATATATATAACCTTATATCTAACTCGATTAGTTTAAGGTGTTACAAACAACCGTTAGGTGAACAAAACTATTATACTCTGTAGCAACAAGTTGCGAGAGTATAAAAATAATGGATAATGTAAGTCAACACCATAGGAAAAATACGAGAGTGTTGAATGATTTTAACTTAATATTTTAACCGTTATGTCTCTTTAATACTAATAAAAAATATATAATATATGGATATACCTATATTTTCTAAATCTTCTTCTCCTATTTAATATTATACATGTTTATTGGATGTAAATATAAAGTAATAAAATTAATAAATAAGTATATATTGTACTTATCCATATGTATGGTATGTTTGTATAGCATCTTACCAGAAAAACCAATGGCTTATGAAAAACAAATTCAAGACATGTTCTGATGATGGAGGTAATTGACGAGGCCCACTTTGGTACGGAGGACAACATCCTTGAGTACAGCATTCCCTCGGCAATGAACAGTAATGACCTCCTTCACAAAAGCGAGCATTAACCTGGTAATTGCAATAAAAAATAAGTAACAAAAAACGACTGTCAGGCGTAGTCTAACATTAAATAATCTCACAATTATATTACTATTGGACTCTACGACATTGTTTATCAGCATGGTAATATTCAAGGGTTATGCCTTGAATAACGAAACTAAGGTATTAGACAGATTTTATAGTAATCACTCATAATTAGTGATAATGCTGTATTTTACTACATAATATGAAGACCTAAAATTTCACAACCACCAAAACAATTAATTACATTGTTTAATATATAAAGAACTTTTGCTTTTATATGATGATATGGATATACTCCTCAGATAATTTTTAAATTACACTTCCTTACATACTTACTATTATTCATTTATGGCAAAGCAACTATTTGTAAACGCAAAATTAATGTATACAATTTTCTGTAAAACTCAACAACTTTTTGTAGGCACAAGTCTCTCTTGTAACTTTTTTCCTATATTAACGTTAAGTAATTTTTCCTACTAAGACGGTTAATTTTGAAATTGGAATATGAGTTCAAATTTCTTCAATAAACAAAATATTAGCGAATGAATTTGATGCACCAAATAGATCTGATGAGGTGAACAAATCTTTATCAATATAAGGGCACATCAAACATGCTTGTTTTATTTTAACCAATGGTATTTGTTTTGGGAAATCCAAAATCTGCTAGCTTGAACTTTCATTTTTAAGTATCGAATGAGCCGTGCAAATCTGATGAACTTGACAAAAAATATATTGACGAATATGTTACATACATATACAATATATATGTAAATATAGAAATAATTTAAAACTAATAAATATAAAGGAGTCTCTTCTGAAAGGCACATCTCTTGATATATGGTTTTTTACTTAATCAAAGTTGCATCTGTATTTACATATTTATTTTAATACAAATGCAAAAACTTACAAGATTCGGCATACGGAAGATGTTAAACATCAAAATGGCAGGGATCAGCAACATTTCTTTTCATTCCTAAAAACGGTTTGTCATTGATTATAAGTATGTCGTAATTCCTCATCCATTAATAGGAAATAAAAATGTCGCTTTTGTATTTTTTTTTATTGAACTTCACAACTTTGGTAGTCCGAATATTTTATCGTGACTGTGTAGATTTTAGTGATATTTTGCCGATGAAAGGTTTGTCTTTCGGTCAATAAAGACTAAAAATCAAGGAAATCATTTCATTTTCGTTTTCAAGTATAAGTGCTATTTCGAGGTATATTATCTTCTATTAATCACTTTTATGTATGTATATGTAGGTACGTCTTTTAGTGATATATTCTTTGTTATTGGCTATCAATAATCGCGTAAATTAATTATAATTTATAAAACCCAGTTTTGACATTATGTTGCTATGATAAATATTGAAGGTGAGAAAAATTTGTAAACCACCCTTAACACAATACCCGTCATTTCCTTTTCCATTTCATATACATATGTACGTAGTATTGCCAACAGAAATATATTAATACCCATAAAACGGATGTGGGCTTAATCACTTTTAGCATTCAAGGAAGATTTAATAATGAATCGAACGCGCAACAAAAATTAAAAGTTAATCAAGCAATTTCCTTAGTATCTGCGGCACTTAAATACATTAGTTTAGATACACTAAATTTTGGCAAATATAGTTTCCTTGTTTCCCAAATTACCCCTTTAAAAAAATTTGTAAGTAGTAGCAAATGTTACGTATTTACAAAAAAATTTTAGCTAAGCGAAAAATATTAAAATTGTATTTTCCTATTCAGATAGAACGTTTTCAAAATTACTAGTTTTGAATTAGCTAACATGTAACATGTATTAATATATCAAAATTCATAAAGTCGGTTTTTATGAAACCCTCCATGATGAATATATCCACATCCGTAAGTTATGTTGACTTGGACAAAGGATATTTTGTATACGCTTATTATATACCGAAATTTGCCTAAGCCCAGCCCAGTCAAAGATTTCAAGAATGATTCGAGACTGAGATTACGCCAAGATTTTACCCTTCCTTTTTCAGTTTAGACGATGAAAGATGTGACCAGGAATTGAAAAAATACAATTACACCAGTGACGTCAAATGCTTTATAGATTTGTTTTTGTTGCTATGTCGCTTTCACTATTTCTATACTGTATGACCAGAGAACGTATAACAGTTATTGTATGTTCTGTATATTTTCAATTCAAATTGGTCATTTGAAACAAAAAAACGAAAATTGCTTTTTGAGTTCACAGATTAAACTACTATATGTATTTAGTGTTTTTAGTGCTGCTTGTATATCACAGCTCCTTATTGCTAATTTACATCAAATATTTTGCCTGAGTTCGAACCATATTACAGATGAAGTTTTGTTCATTTTTTAATTTTTATATACCTTTTTTATTACATTTATTTTAATTTTTCCCACACTATATAAATGTTCTTCAAAATCTATTATTTCTTTTTGTTATTCCAATTTTCCTTAATACGCATGCCAAAAAACATCTGCGCATACATAGATTAGCCGTTCCTTTATGAGGTGGTGAAAATTTGCTTGGTTCCTTTTTGACGTGGTGTAATTTAATTTTCGAATTTGCGCATTTTCGATGTTCCCTTTTAATAGTTTACATTTTAGCACAGCTAACATTTGCGCCTTCTCTATTTATTAACATTCTCTGTTCTAAGTTCTCTGATTCATTAACATTCTCTGTTCCTGTGTTGATTTTCCATTCCGTTCCCACGAACGTTAAAAATGAAATAAATATTTTACGTTTTCTGGTGTTACCCTGTAACTTCAGGCAATTTGAAAATAATCAACATTGTTACTTTTACTTTTATTAGAGGATCGCAACCCGTAAAGATTCAGTTTTCATTTGGATGTAGTGTTTCAAAATCGTATAAAGATAGAAAACTTCAACTCATAAAAAATTAATCATTTATAACTCGGTGATATTAAATGAAGTTCTCTGTTTTGCGAATTTATCTTGTAATATATTACTGCAATGTATTCATTGCAGGATATTCAGACGGCGTCAATATGCCTCAAGGTATTCAACACACATTAAATTATGCATTATGTTTGTCTTATATCTAAATAATATTTATATACTCTATAGTCATATTTTTGGAAGCAGGAACGATAATTGACTATCATCCAAAGACGCGACACAAGGGATTTTTCGATAATGATATGCGAATTTATTGTTACAGTGGGTCTCGAAAAGATTGGACCCATATTTTTGAGAATATTGAACTTCAGTTGGAAATTGAAAAGGATGAATTTAAACAATATGAAGGTGCTACGCCATTAGAAGTTCGACAAAATTTTGAAGATCGACAGTCATTATTTAGTTTTAATTTGATCAGTAATAAACGGACACGTTTAAACCTATATCCCTTTAAACAACAGTGCATTGGGATTGACACCGCGCTGCCCTATCGTGTACGTCTGCAGCAACTACGTATTGACTATTTTCGCATTATTCAATTCTCCGTGGGTATCTGTTCATTTATATTTGCTGGAAGCCTTAGTAATAACTCTATATTGTTTTATCTGACTGGAGTTACTATTGGAATAGGCTCTTCTTTTATGCTTATTATTTGGTTGACAAGTAAATTAATGCCCAGGTATATTTTATTTCTAACGTTTTTATGCATTTCATAATTAACTTCTTTATAGGCGTCCTATGGTGTATACCATCTTGATTGGTGGGTGGTCAATTGGATTTTACATTATCCAACGACTTTGGGATAATCTTCATTTGATTTTTCAAATGTATCGCGCATATGTTCTCTGTTATATATTCACGACGGGAATAATATCTTTCTTCTTTTGTTACCGTATTGGTCCCCCAACAAATCAGCGATCGAAAAATATTATAAAGTGGGTTTTACAAATAATGGCTCTTACTATGGCGTATTTTTCAATACAATATCAAGAAGCCAGTGTAGTGATTTTAATCGCCATAATAATTTTGAATTATTTGCCGAGTTCACTCTTATACAAACCTCTCAAGATTTATAGATGGATATTTCCACCTAAGAGACGTTTACTTACCAACGAGGAATTTTATGAAGAAGGTATTAGAGAAACTTCCAAAGCCTTGAACGAATTACGAGCATATGCCAACAGTCCTGACTGTAAACAGTGGAAAGTATGGCTATACATAACTTTACCAAAGTTTTTGATTTCAAACAAAAATTTCTTTTACAGATTATATCCAAACTAAGTGATCCTTTACGATTTGCAGCTTTTGTAGAAGGCCAGTCTCATCTGAGAGAAGAAGAAATCTTACGCTATGAAAATAACACAGAAACTATTGAGCAAAGTGAAACCGACTCAGATGAAAATTTCGGAATGGAGAAAGAATACAAAAAAAATAATTTCCCTCGTTCTTATTTGAAAAAAGAACAATATGGTTGGAATCAAAGTAAAATATTTAGTAATAATATTACGTATGACGATACGAGCGAAGAAGGTGATATTGTATATGAAGATACTACAAAATCAAAAGGTTCCGTTAATAATATGAATATTCAAAACACATCTAATTATGAAACGAGCGGTACACATAAATTTAATGGCAGTAATAAAGGCCGCACATATTCATCGAAATTTTCTAGTACCTCAAAAAGAGAAGCGAAGTCTAGAATGTCGGTAACTTGATGTTACATTTAGCTGCCCACATTATTGCAGCGCATCTAAAAGTGATTATTAGTGAAACCTTCTCACATAAAAGAGACTTAACACAGTCAGGGTCAGTGGGACTCACATAATGTTATTGTTTATAATGAGTTGTACAACTCTCTCTCTCTCTTTAAATTGTGTATCAACATTTGCTCTTTGAATGTTTTAGGATATGTATACTAATAAAAAGACTGCTATTTTTTTCACCTGAAATGTTACCTACTTTCGTTTCTGTTGTAGTGTAAAGATAACGTACTCGACACCAACTTTTAGTTACTATTTTCCCGTTTTTAATACTGAATGGAATAATCATTGTAGATTAACACTCGTTTGCATGTATATAATTTAAATTAAACTATTGTATATTGTAGAATTCCAAGTCTTCCTCTTTGTCGCAATTGCCTAATCCAGTCTTAAAACAAATGATGGAAATATATTTGAGACGTTCTCTAGCTATACAGTGCTCGAATATTTGTCATCGCGAACTTCTTTTTTATAAGGACTTTCTAAAGATATGAGGTGATAATGCAGCGTGTAGACGAGGCCATTGTCATAATCGTAAGCGATATGAAAGAAGATATCAGTGCATGGAAGAAAGAATTGAAAATATCAATCAATTATAAAACATCACATTTGTACTAATCCTGTAAGGTCAATCCGTGAAATTCCTCGGAGTGGTTCGCTAGCTTAAAACAATGTTCTGATAACTGATTCGCATACAAATTTAGCTTTGCAATCAATTATAAAACATCACATTTGTACTAATCCTGTAAGGTCAATCCGTGAAATTCCTCGGAGTGGTTCGCTAGCTT